GTTACGAGGTAAAGAGATTTCTTTGGTGAAATTGGTCTGGTTGGGAGCTGCTGGCGAAAGCTTGACGTGGGAACTAGAGAGCAAGATGCGGGAATCTTATCCCGAGCTGTTTGATTAAGGTAATTTCGAGGACGAAATTCTTGTAAGTAGGGGAGAATTGTAACGCCCGTTTTATTTTGATTAAATTCAATTATGACTTTTCTATGTCTCGTTGCGTCGTAGTCGTATTTGAAAATGTGTTTATTTCGAAGAAAGGAATTGAATCGGTCGAATTTTGGGTAAAAGTGCAGAATCCTGTAGCAGTTTTAGGAAAACTTCGAAAAATCATATCTCTTGATCCGTAAGTCGGATTTGACCCCCATTCGAAGCGTTGGAAAGCTAAAGAGATGTTCTATCTAGAAAAAAATTGAATTTTTCTGATATGACGACCGTCATGGACTTGCCACGACCGTCACGACCGTGACGCTCGTCATGGACTTGCCACGACCGTCATAGTAACGAAATTCAGTTAAATGCAGAATTTGGACGTGGCTGAGAGTGGGTAGCAAAAATACATTCTCATAGACTCTTTTACCCTCAATTACACCATTTGAGGAAAGAAAAGACTGAAAAGAGAAGTTACGCATTGAGGAAAGTTGAGAGCAAAGAATCAACCACCGACGAATTTGGAGGATTTCTGCAGAAAAGTCACCGTAGAGCGGAAGCGTAACCGGAGAGCGTGGAATTGACCTCAATTCTAAGGTAAGGGTGGGGTTCAATTCTATAACCGGGAGTATGATCGAATTCATGTAGGAATCGAGTCATAGGTATAGTTTCGTTAATCGATAAATGTTAAGGAAAAGGTTTCCCTAATGGGACAAGATTTCTATGTAGGAATGAATGTGTTATGTAGTTATTAGTGCGATGCTCTAAGGTTTTCCTTATGGGAAAATACGTAGAACGAATATGCTATACGGTTATTCGTACAACGCTCTAATGGTTTTCCCTAATGGGCCAAAAAGGGCAGTTACCTGGTTGTGATTGATTTGTAATTAATTATGTGAGAAAATGCCGTAATGTTGTTATTACGATAAGATGTTGAATCCTTAATTGTTGAACTGATGTTGATGTTATACCTGTATAGGAATAGCCGTTTGGTATGAACACTTTGAGTTCCTATTTGTTGGTACGATGTTGTAATGTTCTTTACATGAGCAGTCGTAAATGTTGAAATCATGTTGCTATTGTTCCCGTATGTGAACGAGTAGAAAGTGATGGTTGTATGAGTGGTATGATGTTCTGTTATGGACATTCTGGTTGTAGGCGTAATGCCTTGTTATATGGTTGCTATGGTTGTGTTGTAGTCCATAATAGATGCATTTCATGGCATAGCATTTGGCCTGGATTGGCGACGGTTGTGCCTGTATTGGCGTTGTTTGGAGTGTTGGCTCCTAGATGGGTTCGGGGTGTTGGCCCTGTCTCGAGTTTTGGAGTGTTGGCTCCTAGATGGGTTCGGGGTGTTGGCCCTGTCCCGAGTTTTGGAGTGTTGGCTCCTAGATGGGTTCGGGGTGTTGGCCCTGTCCCGAGTTTTGGAGTGTTGGCTCCTAAATGGTACCACATGCATGTGCATAGTTTAGTCGCACAGTTGAGTTGCATTGTTGAGTCGCATGAAGTCGCATAATTACGCTAGTTGTATGTTAATGTTGGTTATGTGAGATATGGATTACTTGTAGTTGTTGTCGATGATGTTTATGATTTCGGAACCTATAATGCTGTGATGAGTTTCCGGCATGTTTTCTATCATGCTTTATGTTATATTATTGATATCTCACTCTTTTTCGTTGTATGTTACCTCCTCTGGTGGTAATTTGCAAGTAGTCAGGAATAGAGCGTAGTTCCCGTTAAGGTGTCGTTGGTCGCTCTGATACGTAGCACTCTTGGGGGGATGGACGATTGCTGTTATTATTTTAGTCGAGGTTATTGTTGATTGAGCTTGTTACAATGTTTTTATTAAATTGTTTTAAGAGAACATGTTGTATACTTTATCGAACTTCCACCGGAAGTAATGACGAGTTGTTTTATGATTAAATGGTTAAATAATATATTGGTGATTGTTCATCCAATTTCGTGCTACGTATGATATTTGCAAGTTGTTGCATAATGATTGTTGTTTGGCAGGTTGAAGTGTAACATCTCTGATATGAGGAATTTTGCCCGTGTGACGACCGTCACAAGCTCATGACGACCGTCATGCAGTCAATGTTTGCGCTGTTGCGCTTTGTTTGCTATATGAATTGTTGTTTTTCCTGTTATCCGCGAGTTTAGATTTGGGGTGTTACACAAAACACCTGCACACACAAAATATGTGTGTAAAGTAATTGTGAACGTTTGAAAACAGACATAATGAAGACAGACTTTAATGACGCAAAAGCTTGAATTAAAGTAAAGGGAAACTCCAAAATGAAAAGCAGTAAATGGCAAGAAATAATAAATGACAAGAATGGAAAAGTGTTTTAATTAAGAAAATATAAAGATAATAAAGAAAAGGGACGCAAACTCGCATGTTACTCATAAATTGTTTCGCTTTTTAACTCGGGTACTACAATTTTATAGAGAAAGTATATGAGTTTTGCGACATTGATTACAATGTATGAATTTACTATTTATAATAAACTAAAAATAACCGTCTTCGATAGCTTCTTTCTAGAAAATAGATGCGTTTTTAACAACATGCAACTTAGTCTTTTGAAGCATTGTCCTGTTGTAAGATCTTACAAACTACTGAAACCCATTATACTGCATTCGTAATTGTTCCAAACGTGTAAGTGTCTGCTTGTCGAAGGTAGTTTTGAGAAAAACTAATGAGATAACCTTTCAAGTCTTCAAAATCTTCTAAGTTTTTTATATATGTCGAAGGCTTCGACCTCAATTTGGTGTCGAGTGATTAGTTAAATTTTTGAGATTATTTTAAATTATGTTCAGGATCTGTTCCTGAGACTCCTGCAAACTATGCTCAGCACGTTAGTTGAAGCGCTCCTTTCGACATGCTTGTCCTATCGAACCTGGTCATTAAATACTAACACTTAGCGTTTTTCTTCATATAACACTCTTTTGTTGATCTTTTATCCAACTTAAAATTCTAGGTTAATGATGAGATACAACTATCTCAATATAGTTCTAATCTACAACCAAAAAACTGCTTCGTCAAGGTGTTTTCCTTTTCTATTCTACTCGTAGAAGTCTTGTGTCTTTTTCACATATCATATGATCATGAAAGTATGGAAATTCGAGATCCAATCGATCTCATATAGTGTGTGAATATCATAATTCAGATTCATACAACCCAATATCTACCTCGGGAGCTAGCAACATGATGGAAGATCCCTCCCAGCCACAACTTCTCACAAAAGTTTGGATACGGTTCACAGATTCCCTATTTATTTATTTATTTATTTGAAATTTTGGTATCCGGCCTTGCGACCGACTAATTCAAGAGGATCAATCCCACCATCTACTAACGGGGACTCCATTTAAAGACAGAACAAAGCTCTGTATGAACTAACCAAATACAAAGATTGCTAGCACCTAGTATGATTCGAACTCAAAAACTTCACGAATTCCCTATTAAATGAGGAACATCTCTCCCCATATCGATAATAATTCTTTAGGCATCTATTTAGAACCCTAATACTTCCCACACACGCATAAGTTTAGTTTCCTTCGAAACATAACATTCGCTACGCATACCAACTAAAGGTAAAACTACTTGTCTGAATAACTCAACGTATATCATTGCCATGTTTATGTTTTTTTTTAATATATTTTTTATGAATTTAAGGAATTGATTGATTATATTTTTTTTCTTCTTATAAAATGAGCGCATTTATTTATAATATACAATATAGTATAGCCAATATTATTCTCAACATGAACTCAAATTCTCTTACCCCCTCGATAGTCTTCATCCTGAATCCTTATCTTTGACATCTTGCTAGTAGGATCTCCACCAAATTTAACAATAATAAGAAACATTTCCTCAAAGTAAGCAAGCGTTGAGTCTTTCTCAATTACAACTTTTCTTGAGACACAATTCACACTTTAAACTACCAATTTGGTTGAAGAATTGCGAATTACACTCCTTTTTTTCTTCTGGCACCCTTTCTTCTTACCTTTCCCCCACCCTCTTTCTTTGACCATGCTTCTTTTTCCGAGGGTGGAACACTTGATCTCTACTCAAACGTCGGTTGAGGAACCCCAAGGTAGGGGGAGTCATTGTATATTCTTCTAAAGAGAAATTATGAAGAGAAAATAAGAAAAAGGAAAAGTGTGAAGAATGAGCCTAATGATGGGGCTATTTATAGGCAAAAGTCCCGGTGCTAGTATCGCAAATGCTCTGATAACTTTGTGTGTCGCACAAGGCACTCTTGTATTGCAAACAGAGTTACACTGAAGTCGTTTGCATCGCAAAAGTGAGGTCACAGTTCTAACATTTGCAGGATGACATAATATTCATGTTGCCGATATGCTTGTATTCATCTTGTCTGCGTCCGCAAAAAATATTAAAACTAAGAATCTTAATTTAGCAAACTTTTCATTAAATCTACATTTACACATCTCAATGTTTTCCCTATACTAAGCTCTGGAAAATTATTAGTCACATTAGAAGTCTCCCTACACCAATGAAGCATTTACTCTCATTAAGCTCTCTAAGATTTCAACAACTATTCTTATTTCTGTCTTCAGCTTGATTCTTACAATATATCTGCTCCTTAGTAGAAAAACTGCGGCATCAAAGATCACAAAATTCGAGTGTTTACTTTCCCTACAGAGCTAAAAAGTTATTCTTCTTATGCAGTTCTCAGGTCCTTTCCAAGGCGAGTCTAAGAGATCGGACTACTAAAACTCAAGTTCGAAGAACATGTAATGACTTAAATAACTTTGCTTCCATCAACCCCGCAGAAGTATAACTACCCTGAAGGGTTCAATTGCAATCGCATAGAACTAAACTCTAAAAAAATGTGTCATCTTTTCCGACAGATTGTCATCCCATCTCCAATAGGCACCTAAGACTCCAAAAAGAAGATATATATCAACTTAAAATAATCTCTCTGCAACTGGAAGTGTATTAGTAATTAGAAAAAATGGTATAAACCTACCATACTGATGCTTACGCGCTTGTCTCCCATTAATCGTTCATTAAAATTTCTAATGCTGTTAGTTTTAGAGTCACTTACCTGCATATAGTACATTAAATGTCAAAGTTCATTTACCATGCAATAAAGAAAAGCTTTAAATAATTTGTTTACCAATGGATCAACAACTTTTCCATGCCAAAGGACATTATCAATTACAATAAGACCTCCAACCCTCACCTGCAAAAACAATTTATTCAGTGCAATAGTATAACAACTTCTACGAGACGGTTGGAAGTTAAAGAAAAATATTATAATTACGTAGGCACAAGATGCACTTAACAATGTTGACCGTCTTATAATGCTCTTACCAGTTGTAGTAGCATCTCAAAATATTTCTCAGTCATCCTTTTCTCAGCATCGATAAATGCAAAGTCATAGCTGCGTAAGAAGGAAAGGTTTAAATTCTATTTTACTTGTTCTTTCTCTGACAATTGACATCATATAGATTGGATTCTATTTTACTTGTTCTTTCTCTGAAAATTGACATCATAGAGATTGGATTAATAGTAAAAAATAACCCTCAGAAAGAGAACATATCAAATGTAGAAGACCTCAAAGTAGTCAATCCAGGATAGCAGCTCTGAGCGGCTGACCCCAAAAATGGGATGGCCACAATTTGATCAATTTTATGGACAAATTACACGAATAATAATTACAAACCTATGAATTGGAGAGCCAAGAATGAAGTGCAGACAGAGGTGAGGGAGGAAGTTGTAGTTTTTCTTTGAAACGCCTTTAGTGCAGAAACATCGAAGAAGGAAGGTTAGGGTTGAGTCTACACTCAAATTTGATTGAAAAACCAAAACTTACCCATAAAATATTTTAAATTAAAGGAATAATTTTGGTTTTTCAAAGGGGAAAATGATATCAGGACAAAAACTGCTCCGCCTCCGCTACCAGCTATTTACCCTATAGCGGCCGCTATAGTGTTTTGCATTGCTAAGGCTCTTCCAATAGCGGCCGGCCTCTACTCCGCTCTGCAATAGCTGGGTAGCGTTGCTATTAGCCGCTATTGACTACTCTGGAAGAACTCCCAACCACTACCCCAAATGAGGAATATCAAGGCCCTATTTGGATAAACAACTTAATTAAGTGCATATTGTATTAATGTATAAACTATTTCTATAACAAAAGATAAAATAAAGTCAAATTGCTCTCATATAAATATAAATTTTCATAAGCTATCTTAAAGAGCTTATCGAAATCAGCTGAAAAGAACTTATGGATATATATATAAGATAGTTTCATAAGCTCTTCTTGCAGATATGTTCAAATAAACCAATCCAAACAGACCTTGATGTTTAAAATCAACGTACCTTCCTACTTCACCATTCATAATTAGAGATTCTAGGGAATCCGCAGCAAGTCCAAGTTTTACATCAACCTAGGATCATTATAAAAAACTTCAGAGAAATCGGGAAGCAAAAATCCAATATACAGTGTCCACATATTTCCAAGTGAAAGTAATGGATATTTGTCACCTTTTCAGATCAAAAGCATAAGTTTACCTTATGTGAAACACCAGCAAGTTGATAATACTTCTTAGCAACATCAAGAGATTTGGCATCTCTTTCACAGGCAACTAAGCGACCTGATTCTGGCAGGACTAATGCTATGGCTAGTGATGAGTAACCCTGATCAAAATTGACAATTTGTAAAGGAAGATATCATAAAAGATCTAGGCTCCGTGACAAAACAAATTAACCAAAAACATGATCGGAACATAAAGAAAACTTAACACGACAAAACTATGGTGTTAAAAAACTAAATGACATACAGTATAAACACCAACTTCAATACACCTTTCGGCTCCAAGAATCTGCACAAGCATTGCAAGTAGCTGTGCCTGATCAGGAGACACCTATTACAAATGCAATGCATTGTCAACAAAATTTACTTCATGCAAGGCAAGTAGGATAAAAATTTAAAATGTGAAATACGAAACTGCATAATTTCTAGCACAATTCTAGATTTTTTGTCAAAATAAAAATTTCAAACTTCGCTCTAGACAAGATATCAACATATCCACAGCAAATAGGAGTATGGGTCATTTCACTTATTCAAGATTTCCTCCAATATTTCTAGTCGATGTGAGACTTAACCACTCGCAGTTGAATCCCAACAGATCAGTTGTACACAAAACTCATGAAACTCCTTACCTGCATCTGACTTCCGCGCATAGACGCCGTCTCCACTCGCAGTAGTCTTAGAATCTGAAACACAGCTACTTCACAATAAGCACAAAATCAACTTAACAACACCACTATATATCACATACCAAAAACAAAACTTTTGATTGACCTCAACAAAAGGGTATGTTCTTCAATCCTCACCTCTGGTTCTCGAACATTTTGGAGCAAATAATCATAAAGACGAGGCGTGAGACTAATAACCTGCTTATTGCCATATTTCTCATCACTGGAAACAACAAACTCGCTGATAGAACAACAGCTTACAACAAGCCGTTTCGTTTTGCAGCTGCACCGCCGACAGAGGGGTTTGCTGGTACTTGTGACAGGATAGGTTGCAGAAAGCAAATGAGAGCTTGCGCGTAGTGTCATGGGTTTGGCTAAAGAAGTTGTAGATTCGTGATGGAACATTGAGCCGTGATGAAACACCATATTGATGCCACAATTTGCCATAACCACGGTGAGATTGAGCACCTTACGGATACAATTTGTAACTGAATTTTTTAGAATGTGTTTGGAGTTTGGTATAGAATTTTTATAAAATAATGTAATTTTAGATAGTGATTCAATTTTTATAATATAAATTATTTTGTTTTATTATAAATTTGAATTTGATTGCTTATAAGTTTTCTTATCTTAAAAAATAAAATATGTTTGGGCAAAATGAGATTAAATAGTAATTATGTTTTTAGTGGAATAGTTGTTTTCTTTATTTTGCCAATAATTAATTTCTATCTCCTATAAATTCTAATTCAATTGACAAAAACTCTGATATTAATAGATGGGATTTCATCACCAAAATTCAATTAAAATATTAATATTTATGTGTGTAAATTTCTAAGTAAAAAAATATATAATAATTAATCCCTATTAAAAGTTTAGCTGACCATTATTAATGGTGCGTTTTTTTACAATTTGTTATATATATATATATATATATATATATATATATATATATATATATATATATATATATATATATATATATATATATATATATATATATATATATATATATATATATATATATATATATATATATATATATATATATATATATATATATATATATATATATATATATATATATATATATATATATATATATATATATATATATATATATATTTTATTTAAATTCAACACTAAATGTAAATTTATATATATTTTTATTTTAATACTAAATAAATGGTTAAGGGCTTATGTGAACTTTGTAAATTCTATTAAATATTTATAAATAAAAAAACATATTGGATTGAATAATTAGGCATATATGGTTCTTAAAAAACTAGAACAAATGTATATTGAAAAGAAAAAAATCAGACTCGAGACAAATAAATCAAGACTCGTGCCAAATAAACCAATTAATTCGATGATGAATTTTGATTTTTAACGGTAGGCATTTTGCCTACCACCATCTCTACCTCCAAATATAAGACGTGATTTTGGCTCTAATTTTTTCATTAATATCAATAGTTTGTTTTTCAACTATATTTGTTTTTTTTTAGGAATTAGAATTCGTGTTAATTGGTGGTGTAGGATTTTGAAATCAGTGATGTTGATCATCGATATGGTGGTACGAGATGAATTTGCAACATTAGCGCTCCAACACCTAAGGCGGTTCAAAGTTCGAGATGTGTATAGTGAAAAGTGTACTTTAGATCTTACGTGTGTTAACTGTATATGTTGGATAATTTTGATTCGGCCTGTCCTTGGTTGGACCTCTACTTTAAACCTTTGGCCGACCTAAAATAGTTGTCCCAAGGCTTGTCAGGAATTCTTCAAAGTCGTGGCCGACCTCTAGCAATGATGTCCGACATTTAAGGAAAACAGAGAAGTCCTGGATTAGTTACAAAAGTAGTAGGGACCAAACACATTAAATGTTTTTCCATCATTGAAATGTTTCATTGGTTTTTCTAGACACATGGCTTTAGGTTACCAGCTTAGGGTGTGACACTTCCTCCTAGTGCATTTGAGTGAACTTGAGTTTGTTTACATTTTCTAGGCGAAATCCAACTATTGATAGGTAACTTTTTGTTCCTTCTTCTATATATAATGGTTTTTCGAGCTTTGGGAGAATTTTTCCCTATCCTTAAGAATTAGTTTCCACTCAAGAGCGTTTTCCTTCTTCTTCTTCTTCTTCTTCTTCTTCAGGAGTATCTCTTAGAGTGCTTGTTATTTTATGAACAAAGCTTCCACTCTCCCATTAGAAATTCACCTTTCCCGTCAGGTCCTACTTCTCCCAAGTACCCTTCTTACCTTAAACGTTCTATATCTTAAGAATTTTCTTTACCATGGCCAATATGATTAAATATTCTCATTAGTTATTCTAGCGATTCTGGGAGTAGTGGTCATTCTCAGTTAGTTAAGGCAGAAGCATCTTTTAGCCCAAACCCTTTCCACTTAATCGTTAATCAATCATTCCACGAGGTCATATTTGTATCTAATGATTCAGACTCTGAGAAGCTTTCTAGAGGCTCTCTAAGTAAGGGAGCTTCTTCCAATGATTCTTCCTTCGATGTTTTTTTCTTTGACAATGATATTAGAGATGGTGGTGTAGTATGTTCTATGCTTACATCGTCTGAAGTTGTAGAGGCTTCAGCTTTTCCTACTTTGTTGATTCCCAAATTAGAGGTTGACATTATGAATATGGTGGATTCTAAATATTACATTAAGACTTATCAAAAATCCTATTACCAAGATCCAAGTGATGTCGACATCAACGATCATCTTGCATGTGGATCTCGGCGGGATGATGTTAGGTAGCTCAGTCCCTTCAAGATCTTCAAGGCCGACAAGATATCCTTGAAAAAAGCTACGTTGGTGGAGCCAACCGGTGCAAACAAATATAGTTAAGTGGATTCCAAGATAGTGGGAATCCCTCCATTTTAAGTGACTATGCGGTTGTAAGTGAGGCTAAAATCATGGTCGGTCATCCATCTGATTGGTCGGTCCTTCCAGTGGATTCAGGAAAAAGGATATGAAGTACCTTTGAAGAGTATTGTGTTCCTTTTTACGTGTGTCTGTTCACCAGGGTAAACCTTTGGTTTCCCATGTCTTAATTTGAGTTGGAAGTGTTGAAGTACCTGAATGTTACTCCTTCCTAGCTCCACTCGAGTTCATGGGCTTTCATAAAGGTATTCCAATTTTAGGCTGAGCATATCTCTTGGAAACCTTCTTACCAAGTGTTCTTTAATCTATTCACCTTAATACATGCTTCTTTCCAGTATAATATTTAGGATTAGAGAATTAACAAGTTATGCCAACATGTTCCCTTAATCCACCATTCATCTAAAGATTGGGGTGACTTTCTGGAGCACTTCGTGTTGGAGAGACCATGCACTTGGGAATCTGACTCTACATTATGTTTTGGCTCTATCGAATCTCATCGCCCTTGTAAGGGCAGGTTTCAAAAATATTGGGCTTATCACATATAGCACACATTGCATGTGGTGGACTAGTGTATATTTTATCTGTTTGAATATTGTTTATTGTTGTTGAGATTTTTTCGGTTTGTACTTAATTATTTGTATTTTGTTGACACTTTTATCTTAACATTGCATTACGTGAAAATTAGCATTACATTATTGCGGGATAAAAATAACTTAACATGAACATAACCTAACATGAACATGACTTAACATTACATAATATGAAAATAACATGAACATAACTTACTAATGATAGATTATTCGAGACGTTCCAACATCTTAAGAATCACTACTACAAAATCTACCTTTGGTAACACTATATTACTACGGTCATTTAATCAACATTTATATTATAGGCTTCGAATTCCAACACCAACAATTTTCTATTTTTCTTTAGAAAAAGGGTTTGTCCTTATACTCTTATATATTTTTTTTAAATTAAAACACCTATCACCATGGTTATTATCAGAAATCATTGTGAAAAGTACTTACATTTTGTTACATTTTTAGTATCAACCATGTTATTCTTCTTCATACGCTTTCTTATTCTTCTCCATACGCTTTCTTCCATGTTATTCATATGTTTTCTTCCATTTTTTTGTATAGGTTCTAATATTCATCACCATTGAAATGGTCAATTTGTGTTTAACATATCAAAATACAATATGATTATGTTAACAATTTGCTTGTAAGATTACAATGTTTATGTTTCCAAACTTTTCTTTTGGTTTCTAAATCTGGTTCAATAGTTTATGTTTCTAAATATTCTTAACATGGTAACTTATGTTTTCAAATCTAGTTAACATATTGTTTATAGGATTACAATGTCATGCTAGTTTATGTTTCCAACTCTGGTTAGTATGATGTTTTTAGGATTACAATGTCATGCTAGTTTATATTTTTAAATCTAGTTAACATGTTGTTTGTAGGATTACAATGTCATGCTAATTTATGTTTTCAAGTCTTGTTAACATGGTATTTGTAGGATTACAATGACATGCTAATACATTTTGACTTGTAGGAAAAGTGGGCAAAAAAAATTAACTCAAGAAAGCGCATATTATGGGTGTGGCTCACAAATGATTTTATGTTGCTATGAAGAAAAAATACAATGAGGATGAAGCTACTGTGAAAGTTGCAAGCTTGTGTGACATATTCAAAATAACGTTCATTCTAATTTAACACGATTTTGCAGCTCTCACTTCAGCTTCATCCGCCTTTCATGGTGGATTCCATTCTACGACAAGTAGATCATTTCTTCATCTTTATTCTCCACAAATATTTTCAATAAAAGATACGTCTATGAAACATTTTATGAGTTGCTATATTGTTGTTGTTCAAAATGTTTTTCTGGTTGATGTTTTTGTTGGTAAATGTTGTTGTTTGTGTTATTGTTAATGTCATAGAAAATGAGTTTATTATGTCCTGGAACAAACTTGTTTTGTGCAGCTAGATGTGATTTCGTTCGGCCAACATGCAAGAACAAAACATTCCTAAGTCCAGATGAGTTTATTATATCGTATGTAGATTGTGTGTTTCACTAACACCTCAATAAACATGCATTCATTTAAATTGATTTAGAAAATAATAATCTAAAAATTAATTTATTTTTAAAAACCAACTTAGATCAATTAATGTTTTTTGAATTGCATGCATCTCATAATTCATCTCTCTCTCTTTAACATATAGAATTTGGTTAAATGCTCCATATTCTTCAAAGCAACAATTTCTTCTCTTCTAGTTTATTTTGCAAAACATCAAGTTTGTTGAGAAATTCATATTCATTGTCATCATTGTAATAATAAAATGATAATCATTATTGTCATCATTTAAAATAATAATGATGATAGTGATGATGATGAATCCAAATTAGTTAACAAATGGATACTTTTCAAAATATACTATAAGAGAAGGAATCGCTGCTTTGATGAACTTGGGGCATTGAACTAAGTTCTATGTGTTAAAGAGCGGGAGATGAATTATGAGATGCATGTAATTTAAAAAACAATGGACCGTTTAAGT